AAAATTTCCTTAATAAATAAGTGTATTCATTAGAATAAACTTTATGCATTTATTGGCTCTGTAACCATGTCTTCCAACCAAAGATTACCATCTAGTGATAGTCTGTAGGGAACTTGATGCTCCAAATAATTACTTACTGTTAATTAATGCCTCAAAGTTAGTAGCCTTTCATAAACTGCCTTTCACAGACTGTTGGTGTGAAACATGTTTCAGTGCAAATCCACAACGAAGAACATATAACACTGTTATATAACATATAACACTGTGACTACCCTAGTCTTAGTCTTTTTTTGGTTTCTGATGAGAGAGGTTGTGGACTGATAAGCAGACTAATTTCAAGCCATCACCGACATAGTTTAGAAAGAAGGTGATACGAATCTGAGAAATGTTATTTTGATGTGATTTGAACACTCTTTTGAAAGGAAGAAAGATAATACATAATCTGTCCAGTAACTTCATCCTTTTTTCCCTGTCTGTCCCAGGCAGAAATACCTTTCTACATCTTTCTCATGTTCTTTTTGCCCAAGGACTTCCTTAGTCCTGCACCAGAGATCCAGTGAATTCACAGAGAGTCTGGGAGGTGAAATAGGGTCTTCTCACATGTGAGGCAATTAGTGTTAATCTGGTTCCCCAATCCCAAATTCATTTGACTGAGGTAAAGAGCTGTAGATATTAAATTCACTCACCCCTGAAAGAACCCCCAGAATTTTAACTGTAGCATAATAGCTTTTGGGTATCCATTAAAAATATCTGGACCTGAAGCTAGACAGTACTAATGTCACCCCTCCAAAACCATGTTAAGTACAGGTGTCCACATCAGGCAGCTCAGACTTTTAATGAAAATCACACTGTGCACTAGGCTGCTCACTCAAATGCTGGCACGTCTCTCTATGGCCATGCATGAGCTGCCTGAGATCCTGTTTCTAAAGCCTTTGAATTCCTTTTAAATTCCAAACAAGACAAATTTGGTTCCTGAACATGAAGCAATCCAAAATAAGCTTACCAGGCCTTACATTAGCAAAAAAAAGTGCTTCTAAGACCAAGTAATGGCTTACATTTCTGGGCTAGAAGAAGTTTCTCAACACACTTAGAAATTGGGGCAAGTTTTTCAGTAATCTTGAGACTCAGAGGGTTGTGGATGGCCTCAACAAACTTTGAAGATCAGAGTATCCTCAAAATTTGCTGTGCAGAACCCTCTTTGCAGACAAGCATCTGCATGATTCAAACATAACAGGATTGGAGTAACGGGTGAAAATACAGGACTTAGTATGAAAAGGTGATGCTCTTCAAGGACCGCAGATTAGAGCTCAATCCAAAAAGAGGAAAACTATTCTACTAAGGTTATGTGAAGACTGTATCTGGAAGCAAAAAACCAGAGGATTTATCATCTTTTTTTTAATCATCTTATTTATCATCTGCAAATATGTGTTGATAATTCTGTAAGTCAGAAGCATGTGCTCAGCTCACGCTCTGACAATAATGTATACTGGTACTCTATTCTTCACTCAAAGAAAAATACAATAGTTCTTCACAGTTTCAGTTTCAATTCTGCTCCTCCTGCCTGCCCCAAATCTGAAAGTCTCTGAATTTTGAAGCACATAGGCTTTATTATTTAGAAAAAAAAGAAAATAAGTATTTTGACTTAATGCAAAATAATACTCCCAATCATTCCTTGCAGTAGAGAGTTCCATTATGCTGGAGCACAATTTTGTCAGTGTTTAAATCACAGGGTTTTTTTCTCATGTCATATTGGAAGAAAAACTAAATGAGATGCCACAATGATTACTTGATGTCTGCCAGCACTAGTGCAAAGGCAACAAAACCAACTGCAGTTATGCTGAAGGTGTTCACAGGTGGACCAAACAGAAACAGCACAGATGACACATATAAATCCTTTAATACCAGAAAAGTATTAATATACATTAACTTATCTATCCTGCCTGTCTTAACTTATCCAAGTTACCTTAAACCTACATTAGCAATAAGTTGAAGATAACAGGTAAGACCTTTGCACGTTCCCAAATCAGTTTCCTGCTTGTGATGAACAGTATTTTTAAGACTAGCTTCCGATTTATAACTTTGGTGTGCTGGAGCACAACACGAATGAACCAAGAGTCCTGTAACAGTTCAGGTACATATGCTGTAAGGAACACTTCAAAATGCCATCACAACTGAAAAACATTAAACAACAGATCTGCCACGTTTTCGTCAATGGCTGGCAAATACAGTGTAGAGGACCTTGTGCAGAAAGCACACAAAAACTTAGTCAAAACCTAGAAAACACAAGTTCCATTTTTCAACACCTGTAACTAAGCACCAATAATATAAAGTCTAGTTAAAGTTGCATGGCACCATTCATTACAATTTTTACAACAGAATTTATTGCCTGTTGCAGCAATATTAAAATGGAATAAACATACTTCAGCAGAAGTGCACAAAGAAGAACTGCTCACCTTCTGCATCTTGTCTTACAGTGACATGGTAAGCTCTATAACATTTTTATAAATTATAAAAGGGAGAAGTCTTGTGTCATATCGCTGTTGACCCCAGCCAATTCACTCTGCGACTATTACAAATCCTATTTGCTTATTAGCAACCATTAGTATAGCAATATTCACAGGTAAATCATAAGAGGTCGAGTACTACTTGCTAAACACTTGGCACAATTTTATTGTGCTTGTCTGAAATCTATGCAAACTTTTTAAATAGCAAAGTATGCTTATCTTATTCTGAAAAATATACAGGGAAACATAGTAATGGAACATAAAATCTCAGTGGGGAGAAGGAATTAAACAAATATCTTGACTACATATCCTCTATGCAAAACTAATATTCAGCATTCCACAGTGAATTAAAAACAGATTGCTTTTTATCAATGAAAACAAACCTATTCTGAAAATGAAAACAGCCACAGGATGTTTTCCTTCTAATATTTCGAAACTCAAGTTAATGAAAAGGTAAACAGTGTGGTTTGCATTTCATGTGACCTACAGAATATTGCTAGGGGTAGAAAATAAATTATTTTTTCATTGTATATTCAATAACTAACTTTGGGAAAAGAAGAAATAATATATTGAAAAATTAAGTTTTGTTAAAGCACAGAAGGGATGCATTCTTTAGTTGGAGATATGTTACAGTCAACCAATAACAACCAATAAAATTACAATGGCTCAGCCACCACTTCTCAATAGTACTGTAATAATTAATTGTACATGTTCTTCTACTGCAGTGAGGTTAAAAACCCTCTGTGGGTCTAAAAAAGCATCAGCACCCATCCATAAACTTGATTTGAAACATGAGATCCATGCACTACAAGGTGAAATTAACAGACTTTCATACTGCTGAAAACAGAAATAACAACAGTTCTAAAACCCAAAACAATTCCATGAATATACCTGTATTATCTGTTTTCAAGGATTACAGAGAAATTAAAGCCTATTTTAAGTAAATACAGAAAGCATACAGTCAGTCATGACTACAAATATATAAAAGATAACAGGACAAAATAAACTAGTAAGATTAATAATATTCCTTCTGTATTCTTGGCAATAAAATTGTCTTTAGAAAATAAAATTCCAACTGTAAACTTGTAAACTCCTTCAAAACAATAGCATAAATTATTCCATTTTGGGGCCCCTATACTTTATGCAATCAGCATAAGCCTGATGCATTTGAATTCTTGGCATAGAATCATCTACAGGAAGTGACAAAATGTCTTACTGTTTGAATTTAGAATACATCTTCAAGCATGAAATCCCTCTCTATTTGTCCTCAAATGTTCAGAATCTGCCCTTCTGCACCATTTCTAACATTACAGTAACCAGCTTCTCACTATCTCACCTTCAGACTGGAAAATCTTGGTCAAACAAATTTAGAAGAATGCTGCTTTTTAGCTCCATGGTGGCATATCTGTGACCTTTTCCTTACTCTCTTCTAGCATTAAGAGGAGGAAAAGCATTAAGGTGCTTCCATCCAAACACTGCTCCAGAAATATGATATCCTACTGTATTTTCCTATTAATTTGATTTTACTCACATGAAGCACGAAAATCCTGCTACATACTATACTAATAACTGAACTACATCACACATGACTGCTTTTGCAACAGTATAGTTCTATTACAAACTAATGATGCCATTATAGGAGGAAATGACCCAATTCTAAATTAAAACTTAGCCTGTGGACTACAGAGATTTCAGATTTCAGACTTCCTCTACAGACCACCCATAGGAATTTAGGATAATGTGGAGGAAAATAACAGAATTTCATGTATTGATATTTTTTGATTCAGAAGTGCTTTCTGGAATCACTTCTGCAGCACATCCCTTAAAACTACTTATTTCTGCTCTTTTTCACTCTTCTTTTAGAGTCTCCAGTCTGTTCTCAACCTCAACTGCTTATTTCAACAAGTGTCTTCCCACTTGTACGTCTTAATTTCATCTCTTACACACATCACTAGTTAGACAGTTAATTTACCAAGTTGGCTTTAGGAGAAACATTGCACTGAAATTAATGTGTCACAGGGGTGTTAAAATTCCACCTTTACTTCAGCCTAATGTTTGTCACATTTTGTTCATATGTGGAAACTTCCCTCTGCATCTAAAAATATTTAGAGCCTTTTTCCAACTGTTGTTGAAAGCTTAGATTATTTACACTAACTGAACTATGTATACCTACTGTATAAACGAAACAATTCTATTTATAAAGACTGAAAAACCACTACTAACCTTCCTGGTATTCTATTCCAGTTACTGGGGATTAGCCTACCAGCCTAGATGACAAGCCACTTGTACTAAAAAGCTATATTATTTTTGGGTAGATATGTCCTACTGGATAAATTTCCTTTTAAAAGAAAGTAAGGTCTACAATGAAGATGCAATATAACATACAGAACACACTCTGCATGTGCATGTACTCCCACCCACACAAGTACCTTTACCTAAGGAGTGCTCTCACACTCACAGAAGCAGGGGCAAGAAAACAAAAACAACAACCCTTACCTTTCTGCAGACACTTTCAAAATTAACTTCTGTCCTAAGAGCAAGTCTGGTAACTTCATCTGGCTTTATTTCCTGTGGATGAAAGATACGTTTATTCTTCTTATGATCAGTTTTTACAAAATGTTTCTAAGATTCTTCTTCCTCATAAACATTCTAACTTCATGGCATCTCCCGTTGATCTCTTAAAAGAAGAAAATTAGTTTGTTATATATAGATTTTTTTGTCTGTATGTAAATACTACATTTACTGACTTACAAAACATTTACTGACACCTAGTCTGACTGTATCTACTACTGAGGGCAACAGAGATTTTTCAACAGTAAAGTATGCAGAAGGGTGATTTTATTTACAGGAATGTTTAAATTGCCTGTATTGTGCTACAAATAACTTTGGAAGGTGTGAAATGTTCCACTTATCTTTAACTCTGAAGTTACATCAGAATTTACCAACATATGTGCATATAAGTTGAAGGCAATGAAAATTAAGTTGAGAAAAAAAAATCTCTTTTCTGAAGAGACTGACTACACATGCAGTTTTTGTTCCTGGACTTAAGCATTTCCATTGGCAGTTGAAATAAAGGAATGAAAATCCTGGACAAGTAGATTTTGTTTCAAGGTGAATATTTTTGAAACGTGCCCACATGACAGATTTCTCATTATTTTAAAATACATACTTTATATATGTTGTATTACAAAAATGCCCTATTAATGTTATCAAATGAATGCACTCAATATTGGATTTTTCCTTCTAGAGCACTGTGTCAAATAAATCATGTTACATACCAGTTGTTTGCCAGATGCCATTTTAAAAGCAGTTTAACTACTGTTATGCAAAGCCCAAATAATTTCCATGCATTCATAGTTCTGAAAAACTGTATAAAGAAACCTAGTTATTCTGAGAGCTTTCATCTAGATCTAGCCTATATCAAATGCCGGTGGCTTCAACACCTGGAGAATTTCTAAAACTCCAGGAAAGCAGATGACTTAAACATAAAATACAGTAATTTAAAATCTAAATTGGAAGTGCCCATTGAAAGTATTACAGCTTGAGAAAATGAGACATGTCCAGGTGTTTGGGCTGCACCTATAGCTAACATTATGTTCAGATCTGGACAAGAAAGATGTTAACTGAAAACCCTTAAAAACAACTACCGTAACCACTAGCTCAGAATAATTATGACCAAAGGTCCAAATGCAAATAATATATTGTAAATGATATGCAAATGATAATTTTAAAATGTCTAGAAAAAAAATGTACTATATAATAGGGAAACAATTTCATGTTCAACAACTAAAATATACTTGTTCCTTTTTCTCTGTTTCCTTACTTAATCATCCCTGCTAAGCATTCCAACACTTTCATTTAACATCCTGCTCCATTGTTAATTTTCCGTATTCTATCCTGCTTCTGTCCTAAATCTGGAGCAGTCTGTGCACTTCCTTACATGCAATTTCAGGAAGAACCAAGTACCTTACTTTCTTATACAGGGTCATACCTTGCATTTAAAAACCTTACCTTATCCTTCCTTCTATATATCAGATACCTTACAGAGAGTTTGCATCTTTAAGGCACTGCGTAAATGGCATATGTCTTAGAATTATAAGCAAGCATATAATAATGGGAATAAAGTAACAGAACAAAATTAATTTAACAAAAATAATAATCGCTTTTTGTGAATATCAGAAGAGCTTCCTGACAATGAGATCTAAAAGTCTGAAAAATCATCTCCCAAAGGTACTGATGGAAGCCCAATCACTTGGGAGGGCAGAATCCAGACTGGAAAAACACTGGTGGATGTAGGAAACAATCTTCTACTGGCAGATGGACAGTTGGATGACCTAATAGAATCTAGAGATGGAAAAGACCTATGATTCAGCTTTCCATGACTTTCCAAAGAGTTTCACAGATGGTGAAAGTAGGACACAGTGGTTAAGCGACATGCTTACTGTCACATAGTTGGTTGAGGGCTACGAATGAAGCTCTGGAACCCAATACTATTCATTAAATCAAGCTGTAGCTTTATTAAAAAAAAAGATAATTTGTATGACATTAATCCCAAATAAAACTATTTCCTGTCTCGTTAGGATTTAAATGCAGCACCCTGTTTCCAAGGAGAGGCAGGTAAACTTCAGCAATCCCTACACTAGAGTGTCAAAGGTTTAATTTTTATATGACAATATTGCTCTTAACATCACAGAATCATGCATAATAATGGAGAAAGAATTAGAGTTCAGAATACAAAGTCATGAAATGCTTAGTATACATGAATGAGGCCAAGATTCTCCTGTTAAGGCTTAAAATCCCAAGTTTATAAAGCATCCCTTTCACTTTTAGATTTAAGGAAAAACCAAACATTTTTGTCTTACATAGTCTTCAACAGCACCATGGTTTTCTAAAAGCAGTCATATAAGTCAAGTTACTGGAATAAATAGACTTTTCTACTGTGCCTACTAAGAGTCGGCAGCAGTCAAGAAAACAGAAAAAGGATAATAGCGATATTTTTCCCAGCAGAGTTTTCTCAACTTTGAGATGTATGTAGCTCAAGTATTCCTGACTCACAAAGAGAATCTTTATATTGAATGTCTATTACAAAATCTTCTTTCACCAGTTATGTTAAGGGATGTTGTAAGTGGTTGCCACCTCCAGCATCTCCAGGACCAGTCCAGGGATTCCTCCTGCCCTGCTGTTGGAGCCCAGCCCAATGCATCTGGAGATATAGAGGTCGCTATTCCAGGTCCATAGATGTGGCTGCTCCCTTCTCATTGTCAAGTTCAATCAGCAGTGAAGCTCAGGTATGTAGCTAGCTGCCACAGACAAAGCACTGCCTTAGACAGCACCCCCATGTAACACTGCCAGGACTCACATATACCTAAGTACAGCCAGCCAAGACCCCTTCCTCCTTTTCCTCTGGCCAGGATCGGAGCTCACTATTGAGAGTATGCTCCCACCCGCCCCTTCCCACTCCCTCTAGATTAACGAACACATGCACGTTCACAGACCCCTCAAGTATCAGCAGAGCATATCCCTCTGCCTGGGTTCAGTGCCCTTTTCACGGAATCACAGAATTGTCAGAGTTGGAAGGGGCCCCTAGAGATCCTCTAGTCCAATTCCCCTGCTAAAGCAGGATTGCCTAGAGCTCATTTTATGCATCTCATGGACCTCCTACTTGCTGGCTGGCAGCTAGTCACTACCAGGCAAACACATGCACTCACACTCTAGTCTTACAAGTACTCCATGCTCATAGGTCTCTCCTGAACACCAGCATGGGCCCTCTGCTCACCTGATACACCTGCCCAGATCCCGGTATGACAGACCACGGAGATCTGAACAAGGCTTGTTCAGGTAAGTGTATGACAGGTGCTTGTTGGGACCGCCCCCTCCAATACCCATTCCCATCTATGCCCCCTAAACGTTGTTTAGTAAATTTCACATAGCCCCCAGGTCCCCTCATGTTCATCTTGTTCCTCCTTCTTATCAGTTACAAAGCCCAGGCTGGCCTTCCCCAGCACAATACCAGTAGGTTCTTAATGGCCTTACTTTGTGGCTGGAGACGTTTTGTCTTTGTCACTGTCTCCGTTATCCCTTGTCCAGCAACTCTGTTCCTCTCTGCGTTTTTGTTCACCCCTTCCCCCTTCGCTTATGCCCTTAGCATTGGAAAGGTCCGCTACTGGAGGGTCACAATGAAGAATGCTCTCACTACCTTTCACGTGGCCTCACAGATTATAGCTGCTTTCTCAAATCATGTTAATACTTGGTATCATAATACCCTGTGCCAGTAAGTGTCCAGGACTAATGAGGTGTTATGTTCCAACTGAAGAAGGAATACAAAAGTTAAGAAGGAATCAGGTAGGTAAGCTACTTTATGAAGTATCTGGTCCACAATAATCGCAGGTTAGGTAAATACAGACAAAGCCTCCCTACCAACCAACACACACGCACTCCTTCTCTCCTTGAAAATCATCTCTGACAAATATTTTAAACAACTCCTAAACACCTAAAAAAACCCCTTAAAAGTAAGGTGTTGAAGTATTGACTGCCTCTTGAGGGATGATGAAGGACAACTGTTGGGATCAACAGACCCTTCCGCCCTGCATGCTCACCGTGTTTTCTCTTACAGGAAAGAGACTACAGTTACAAGAAGACCTACTAAATTCGATAGAAATTAGAAAGACCTACTAATTCCAGCACTGGTGACACCAGTGTCCTAGCTGGCAAATGCTGCTATGATGATGGATAACAGGTGGCAAGGAAAAACAGGAAAAAAAAATTTCTTTTAATTACAGACTGCACCCCTACCTCAACTTCTGTCACAGAACCGCTTAAGAGACAGGGACATGAGCAAGGGAAGACTCTCTGCAGGCTGATGGACACAACACAAAGTACAACGATGTAGCTCTCTGTTCTGGTGCTTGACCTGAGCCAACAACTGCCACAGGAGCAACCAAGATGAGACTGGCAGGAAGTGGCGAAGGTGACACAGTGGCAGCAGCAGGACCAGCCTGAGTCTCAGAGCTGGGATTTGCACATTTTTTCAACAATATTCACAACGTGGAGACCGAGGCTCCTCCAGGCAGTCACTGCTCAGGCAGCTGCTCCAGCGGGGGGACGTCAGGCAAACCGACCCATCAGCCAGTTGGACCTCATCATGGCTGCAGGCAGATGACTAGGCCTTGGCCTGAGATTAAGCTGAATAAACAGGATGTGAAAAACTACTGGACATGACATAAGAAAACTGCTGGATGCAACAGATAATGCGAGAAGCTGACAGAGTGGCTGGATTTTACAGATCATTAAGGGAGAGTTACGTGAAAAACAGACAAGCTCCATGGAAAGGCAGAGTACGGGGCAGCTTTTGGGGAGGAGGGGTACATCTTGCAGGGCTGAGAGTACCAAGGGAACCATACTGGTAATAGGACATGAAGCCAAGTCCGCCTGTGAAGTCACACCAAAATACCCAGTTTTGGGAAAAAGTAACTATGGGTGGGCAAAGCCTGTCCTGGGCTGAGAAAAGGGAGTGCTGGGGCACAGGAAGGGAATATGGCAGTGCACAGCTGTGGGGCAGCCCCACCACC